AAGAAAACATTGCTTTATAAACCCAAGGACTTAATAAATAATTGATATTTTTGATTATGAAAGTATTGTAATGTTTACTGATAATCTGCCAAATTTTGTTAACATTAACTTACTAATTTAAAAGTTATAGTATAGCACAAAATGGTTACGAGGTCAGTCCTAGGTATCGAGCCTGTGCTGAAAGAGTTAAAGAATGTTTAGATCCTATAAAGATTTTATATCAAAAATAAAACAAAACTACTTTGAAGTAATTTTTTTAAAACTATCATGCTTCAGAAAGTTTTTTTTTTTCTTACTCTGGGTTCTTTTGAAAACATGAAATTATGTTTTGGAATTTCTCTTCAGGTTTGCAGATGCTGCATTGTTTGAAAGCCAGTGATTCTAAGCAGATAGGAGAAGATTTTGGAGGAAAATCTTTCTTTGTGGATGGATTTTATGTTGCTAGGTGGTTAGAGGACAACCACCCTGCTTCATTTCATGTTCTTACTTCAACCCCTGTAACTTTTGCCATCAAAAGCCATTCAGTGAGTTTTTTGTAGTATACGAGTCATAGTAAAATTGGTAAAAAATGTGTTTATAGAAAGAAAAAGGAGTGTTCTCTTCTTTTTATTTGTTTTTCTTATCAAGGCACAAGTTTGTTGAATTATAAGTAAGAACTGAATGAAAGTAAAGAAGGGTGTTTAATAGTATATCAAACACATCATGTATGCTACATCCAGTGTTATGAGGCCTTTTGCCCTGGTTACCAGGACTCTACAGGGAATATGACATTTGTAGTGTTGGCTTGAGATGTTATTTGTATTATCAACTTACTTGACAACAACTATTGCAGTTAGAATTGCATTAAGTTGGAGAAGTGTGTGATATAAATGAAATTGGTGAATTAACACATCAGAAATAGGGTAAAGGATTTATTACCACAAAATTAATCAATCAAAGACTCCATGTGTGTGTCTTGGCTCCCCAGTGGCACAGCGGTATGTCTGCGGACTTACAACACTAGAATCAGGGTTTTGATACCCGTGGTGGGTAGAGCACAGATAGCCCATTGTGTAGCTTTGTGCTTAATTACAAATAAATAAATAAAACATGTGTGTAGAAAAGTATAGAAAGAAAATGGAAGTAGACAAATGATATAAGTATCCAAAATTAAAATGGGGCAGACTCCAAACAGTTATGTACTTTTAGGTTATTTTCCCAACAATTGTGATATGTGATTTATTACAAAATCTAATTCACGTTTGATTTCTGTACCATAAACAGAAGGACCTAAGAGTTCAAATAAATGCATTTCTCCCTCTCACAACTTGTGATAGTAGGTAAATAAGTGTTGCTTTCTTTCTCAGAGGCATTTTTTTTTAGTAATGAATATTGTTGTGCATCTGATTAATGATTGCAGTATCGTGTTTATTCAAAATTTTGGTTGTCACAGTCCTTCTGGTTATTTCAACTTATTCTTCTGGCTCTCTTATTGATGTAACCAAAATTACAAATGTTATAAGCTACGATATGAGTCAAACTGAAGGAAATTTTCAGTTTAAGACACTGAGGAACAGTTGAATGGTACTTCAGAGGAATAATTTAATTTTTCATTTTTAAACCTGAATAAAGTAGGCAAATTCAAAATTGTTATTTATTCAGCTCTTATGTTGTCTTTTGAAATTTTATATATTTGTGCATATACACATGTAGCTACTAATTTGGTTAAACATGTAGGTGTTTATAAAATAATCTTGAAATTTTTCATGTGAGTAAACAGTGTTTTGCCATTTTCTTTAGATGAGATACAGCCAGACCATTCCTGTGATCTGTGTAGACAAAGATGGGGAAGTTCAAGAGATTCATTACAACAATCGGACTTTGGCTCCTGTTCAGCTTCCTTCACACTTGGTGATGCCATTTTATCATGCCTACAGGTAAATTCAAATTATTATACTCGTACGCAGGATATATTAATTCTCTAACAAAATTCAAGTTAACATTTTATTTTTTTCTGGCCGATAGTATTTGCTGTATATCACTATGTAAACTGATAGAAGTTAATGTCTAAGTGGTAGGTTTTGTTGAATATGAGGTCAAGCTCATTTTCATAACATGGGTTGTAAAAGCAAGAGCAGGGGGTGTGCCAGTCTTGGTTATTCTAGCACTGCTTATTGTGAGTACATATGTTATTTTATTTCATAACTGTAAACTAATTCAGCTGACAAAATTGAGGGGGGGCTTGAGAATTTGATGATTTAATTCTGTGTTTTGACCTTTGTGTATACATACTTTCAATTTACAGTGACTAATACATTGTAGTTTATGATGTTTATAGGCATGCATACAAAATAAATGTATATGAAGCTCATGAAAAGATTACTTGTATGTATGTCACACAATGCTGAGCTTGTGACCTTTTGTAAATTAGACTGAAAATTGCTAATGTTTCAGCATTTAAGTGTTGATCAATGGTATACTCATCTTATTAAGTATGCATTAGTGTTTTTCTGTACACTTGATGCCAAGATATTTAGACTCATTGTTTACTAGGTTAATAGCTCAGAAAATGAGAGATCCTCAGTCTCAGCTATCCTTCAACTTGGTACCTGGTGATCTTGTAGCTTTCAACAACCGCAGAGTTCTTCATGGACGCACAAGCTTTGATCCTTCAAAGCTGCAGAGGTGAGAGCAACAGCTATTATATAGTAGTTACTACTTGAGATTTTATACTCCATGAAAGTTTTGATAAATTCTAAACTTATAATCTGAAAAGTTTCTTTCCTAACCTGTTAATTATTTATTGCTTTTATTTCCTCACTATGATTTTAAAATTAGTTTGTTTTTTTTTACATGGAAGTATTTGAAATTAGAGGCTGACAGTAATTTATGTTGACATTCTCACATAATGACATTTGTTTAAACTTTCATGAAGGCTTCCAGTTATTATTGTAATTTTGAATATGATGCATATTTTAATTTTGAAGTTACTGTTTGTTTATGGACTCAAGCTTACAAACCATGGAAAATGATTTAATCCTGTTATGTATCAATTATAGGTTACAATTTATTTCTTAAATAAAGCAATTGAGCTGGTGATGTGTTAATTATTATGTGTGAGTGTTAATTATTATATTAATTACTTATTTTTTACCAATAACTGAGATTTTTATTAAAAGGACAGAATGAATTAACATTAAGCAGCTGATTGTGGAGTGCAAGAATACAAAATGCTAAAAATTATATTTAATTAACAGACAATGATCAGTTTGGGGTATTTAACTAATATCAGAAATTTTGAATTGGATTCTCTTAAGTACTGTTCCATGATTAATAAAATGTGAAAGAATATAGAGTCAAAGACACATCATACAAATAAGTATTCTTAACTTAGGTTAAATCTTTAATTAACAAAATAGGCCTATCTTTTAGAAATTAAATTAAAAAAAAAGCATACACATATGAAATAAACACCTCGAGTAGGAGCTGTAAGCAAGCACTCTTAACAAACTATTTCTTAGTTGTTTGTTTTAATTAATAATTCTTGTTAACCAGACAATAGGTTACCTTAACATTATGCACTTCTTATAATCAGTTTTTTAACATATGCTTCTACTAGGCACCTTCAAGGATGCTATCTAGATATTGATGAAGTTTTCACTCGATACCGGTCACTCTTGCCTGAACATTAGGAAAATATGCTGCTCTTCTGCTTGGTCTGCAAAATCTACTCATTGTCCAGTTATAATAATAATATAAATTTTACTTAAGATATTTTATATCATAGTAGTAGAATATTCACTGTTTGAAAAGGGCATTTTTAATTGAGGTATGGGCAAATTATCCTCTTTCTTTTAGTGCTTGCTGACATTAAAAGTAAGGTTTCTTAGATTTTATTTGAAGGGTATCACTCTTTCTTGTATCTTGAAGCTAGATCACTGTGGTTTTTAATATCTGTGAAAAGTACTTATGACAGAATCAGTACAGATATCTTAAGTGTATTAGTAAGATCTAGTTTTAAATCAATTCAGCCACAAATTCAAGGACCGGAAGAAATTAAAATGAGAAAATACGGGTCATTTAGTTTCAGTCGATTCAACACCTGCTAGAAAGTAATACAAAAATTTGATTTACTGAAGGTTCTATTAAACTTTGCTGATTTTTTAGATGTATTGTTTTTTTTTTGCTTGCCTGATATTAAGTTTATTTTTGCCAGTACATATTTAAATTTTAAAATCCATAACTTGCAAACACAAAGATCTGTACCAATGATGATTTTAGGAACAGTATTATAAGTTGTGTGTGTGAAAGTAAAAGAAAAATATACTTTCTATCTCTCAAAATATTTAGAGTAGTTGTGAATTTTATGGTGTATGATTGGTTAATATTTTAAACAGATTGTAAGTACAGAATATTGTGTAACCAATCAAAAAATATATATGATGATAATATAACTGCACACAACTTTTCAATGTTTAAAATTAAAGAAAATGTATTCCTCCAGTTTGTTTTGTTGTTTTTCAATTATGTGTGGTACAGAAACTTTTATTCAGTTTGAAGGAAACAGACATTGAAAGAAGCATACAAACAATGCATTTTTTAGAAAGTGGATCTGTAAAATATTAACTTGTAGTATCAATACAAACTATTTTCAGTTTCAACCTAAACTTCAAGTTGTGCACAAAATAACCATTTTATACCTGTACACATTCATTATTTACACACAAAATGAGGCAATTTTATTTTATCAAATAGTTTTAGTGTTTTGTAGATAGTGATATATATATATATATATATATATATATA